CATTATGGGCAGGGCTACCGAGCACCACAGCGCTCAAAGCACAGACTGAGGCCACACACGGGTCAAGAGGACCAGATTCAGTTTTCAAGGCAAATTTCAAGTTGTTGGTAAAAATGGCAGAGCCTTATTTTTTCTTGAAGGACCTACTCTGTGCCGGGTGTGTGACATGTTTACATCTTATGTGTATCCCCATTTTTTAGGGTGAAGATAGGGATGGTCGTTTTTCCAGATTTGTCCAGAAAAGGTGACGTGATCAGATGTCCTCAGGCTCTTGCCTCAGACGCCATGTGCCCGAGCCGCCCCCCCTCCCGCTCCGGCCCCTGTGTCAGCAGGGCGACCGTGGTCCGTGGAAACAGGATGGCCAGAGCGCTCCTCTGATCCTCTCCCGCGGCAGGCGGCCGGCCGAGGTCCTCACAAGGAGCTCCCCTCCCACCCCAGCCCTTACTGTCTGCTTCGGACACCCGCCTTGCTGCTCCCAGACCTGCCAGCCTCGCTCTACGCGTCAGTGGCACTGTCCTAGCTGATCTCTGGCTGCAACACTTCACTCACCTCCCTCAAGCCTTCTCTCAAAGGGCACCTTCTCTGTGAAGCCCACCCTGATTACCCCATTTGAAACAGTAACTCCTCCAGCACGCTGACCCACGCCTTCACCTGTCCCTGTCCTTTCCTAGCCCGTCACTTTCCAGCAGATGGTCAGATGTACCTACTCTACCCAGTGTTCCCTGTCTCCCTGTCCTAGACCGTGATCGCCACGAGGACGAGGGTGCCTGGTTCCGTTCACGGGCACATCCCGACATGCCGAACCACTTGTTCAGAATCACATGGGGGCGCACCTGTCTGCGCTGTCAGATCTGCTTTGGTGCATCTGGCGACGTGCCCACACAGGGGTGGATGCAGCTGGTGCTGGTGGACGTGCGACGCAGGTCCGGCCAGTGACTCACACTGGAAGTCTCTGGGGGGTCCCAGGGAAAGGGCCCCTTTGCCTGGTCACACCCCTCCTCAATCCCTTCCTGGGTCAGGCGCTGCTGACCAGGGAACTGATGCTTGGGGCTACAGCAGCCATCTTGGAACCCTGAGGCGCAGCCCTGCTGAGAAGCGCAGGACGAGGCGGGAGAGGGGGCAGCTGGGGGTAGAGAAGCGGAGACAGATTTCGGAGTGACCTTGGTGGGCTGTTAAATCAGCTGAGTCTGGGGGTGAGGGGCCACCTGCAGGCTTCATGTCCAGATGATACATGTCAGTGCTGTTTAAGACATTGTGAGTAGGTCTCTTCTTTCATCCCAAAGCCCCTGCAGGGTTCACAGATGGCATTTTCAAAGAGCCTGGAGAGAAGCTAGGACCACCTAATCCTCAGGCAAACACATCTTTTGTTAAAGCGGCAGGAAATCTCAGGGGCTCCATGTCCTTCTTCAGCCCGGGCAGCAGAGGTGCCACTCAAGGAGGGCAGGGTCCCCACTGCATCCGCAGGGCCGACAAGGCGCCCGTCAGACAGTGAGACTCAGTCCCTGGCTGTGGCGGAGGGTGTGGAACTGTAGGTCCCAGGCTCCGGACCCCCCACCACGACGGCAACCTGCTCAGTAGCCGCCAGGGACCAAGGCTGAGTCCAGGCGCCCACCTGTCTCCTCTCTCCCACCAAGACTGGTGAGGAAGGTGCTTCAGCTACTCCCAATCTGCTCAGGAGGCTGAACCTCCGAGGACACCACGGGGAGGGCGCACCGGGGGCAGCTCCCCTCCTACACACCAGGCGATGGGCTGATGGGCTGATTCTAGGATCTCATTAGTGCCCTTTGCTGCATTCCTAAGGTCTGCTCCCACAGACAATCCTTTTAATCACAGTGGGCCTTTCCCTTTGTCTTTTAAAATAAGCTTGTAGAAACAGCCCCCTAATGGATTTTGCTTTTCTGAAATGTAGCAAATGCGTTTTTGTGCAGAGAAGAAAAAATTGAACCATTGAACTGTACGAATCCCACACTGGCCTGAGCAGCTCTGATAAGGAAAGACCTCGCTGGCACCGACCCTGAGGCCCATTATCAGGCCCCTGGTAGCCTCCTTCAGGGTGGCAGTACACACCCAGGAGGGCAGGGTGCTCTGGAGAGAACTCCCCAGGGCTGAGCCAGGCTGTGGGTGCTATGGGAACCCTGGACCCAGGAGATTGTGGGGGCACCAGGTCACCCCAGTGATGCCCCTGCCAGCTGCCCAGGCCCATGCGTGCAGCTGCAGCCCCTTGGGGATGCAGGCGGGGGTTGGGCTCAGACCCAGGGTCCCAGGGCACTCCTACCCCTGCCAGAAATGGCACAGCCCCCGAGGGGTCCCAGGGTTGGCTGCACTGGCAGCCTCACCATCCTCCCCAAGTCACTGGCCCATGCCAGGTCCCCCAGAACGCCCCTGTTGCACTCTGACCGCCTCCAGGTCCAGGAGGCATCGGGGCCATTTCTGGAGCACTCCGCCTGGAGGCAGAGGAGGCCTGGCTAGGGGTTTTGTTAGGCAGAAAGGAGTGAGATGAAAAGAGGGTGGGCCCAGCAAGAATGCAGGGAGTTGACCAGAGGAGCCCAGAGCCAGCAGGGACCCAGAGCTGACACCCTTGCAGTGTGCGCTCATCCTGCGTGCTCTGAGTCAGGGAGGGCCTAGAGACTTGCTCTAGCCAATGGAACGCAGGTGTGACAGGGCAGGGACACGGGACAGGCATCATGAGTAATTTTCCTAAAAGTGGTGAGAGGAACAGGAGAGGCTTATCTTAAATCTAAGATTCCATTTTAAAAGCAGAGAGTTGAGAAGTTAGATTCCTAACATACTCTTTGGTAATCAGCCAGATCTTCGGGGAGGGCAGGCAGACCTAACTGGTAAATTCCCAGGGCTTGGGGGTAACCACTACCTTGGAGAAGAACAGGATCAGTAAATTCCTTGTGTTAAGTTTATCTTAGAGAATTATCTAGAGGACTGACCGTGGATAATGACATACGGTCTCTCACCAGAGACGGACATCATGAGACCGCGTGACAAGCCTACGGCCCCCCATCCCTTTACCTTTATCCCATTCTTGAAAGCCTTAAAAGACAGAATCCTAGGCCCTTAGGTGTGCCTCTTCTCTGAGGTCACCCACACTCTCCTTTCTTTGAGTGGCACCTTTTTGCCTTAAATAAACGTGCCTTTACCTTCACTCTAGCCCACTCCTCCTCTGGAGTGTATTTGAATAAAATTTTCATTTTGCTTCACTCCTGTGTCTCTACCCTTCAATTCTCTGCTGCGGTGGGGACAGGGGCCGAGGAGAATGAACTTGACCCTCAACAGTTTTCACGTTTTCTCTTCAAACAGGAGGACTCAAAATCCAGTCTTCACCCAGAGACCGAGACCGTGGTGTGGCCATAGGCCAAGCAGCTCCGGGGTGGGCGGCCCCCCTGCAGTCTCGCTCTCCCTGCCGCTTCTGCCCCCACGGAAGGCACCTCCACGGAGCCCTGGGACGGAAGCGCCTCACCCAGGGGCCACACGCAGGCCCGCGGTCCAGCCCTGACCGAGCTCCTGCAGCGCCAGGCCTCAGCTGCCCCTCCCCAGGGGATAGCCACACGTCCCTCCTGGGGCTCTTGCACTCAGCAGTCAAACCCTGGCCCTCCCCACGGTCCAGACTGCCCCCCGCCCCACACTGCGTGCTCGCGGCCCCTGCGTCCTGGAAGGGCTGCCTCCCCCACGGACCTATCACCGAGTAGGAGCCTGAACACCATCTCCTCTGTGCAGCCCTCTCTGGAAGCTTCCGGATCCTTCCCTGACCCCACCCCACACCCTGCCCTTGGTTTTTACTGCTAAAATGACCAGAGGGTCCAGTGCGGGTTTTGAAGCGAGGCTTCACAAGGGCTGCGCACACCCGGGCAGGGAGGGGGGGCCCCGCCAAGCTCCTTCCCCAGGAAGGATGCTCAGCATCAAGCCCCAAGGGCTCTGAGCTGTCTGTGAGCATCGTCCTTCAGCCCCATTATTTTGTTCATCTTGGTGAGACGTGTCCTCTGGTATCAGAAAGCCTTGAAGGGGTGATTTTGAGGGTCTGAGAACCCAAAACGCTTTCCATATGAATCGGCGGTGAGCGCCTCTCCCCTCTTCACTCCGCACCCTTTGGCCCACAAGGTGTTGAACACCCGGCGTCTGGACAGCGGGGGGCGCTGTACTATCTCCCCAGTCAGAGCTGAATCATGCCCTCTTACTCCTTAACACTTCCAGGCCCACCCACCAGGCTGATACAGGAGGGGTTCCTGAGACCTCGGGGAAGTGAGGGGCAAGAGCCGACACCGGCTTGACAGGGCCACGGAATAGCTACAAAAATCACATCACTTCATCATCTATATGTGGCGTATTTCCCGCTGTGTTTGCCCATAAAGAAGCAGACCCTCAAGGCTCCTGGGTCCCAGGGGTCCCTGGGTTATTACGGCCAATGCCGTGTGCCTCTCTGGTGGCCGTGGAGGACACAGTACCCACAGGAGAGCAGGTCTTGAGGACTCTGTGCTTACAGAGACGTGCCATTAACAGAACTCCTTTAAAACTACAAATTTTGGGGGTTTGGATACTGTCTCAAATTGGCTTGATTTGCCCCCCTTACCCCAAATTCTAGTCTTCATACATTTTTAGGAAACTAAATGTAAATACACACCTGTGCACCTGCCCATTGCATCCACACCGCCCACAGTGAGCCCTGGCCTCCTGGTTTTGGGGCCCGGGTGGCCACTCTGCTCTGGCCACTGGATCTGAATCCTCGGACGCTGGGCACAGTGTCCCAACCCTGGGGCCTGGACCCCATTCTCCATCCCGCCCCACTTCCATGGCGCACCCGCAAGGGACACAGGCCGTAATGAAGAGGTCACAAGCTGTATGACGATTCTGGACCGAGGTTTCCCAGGATCCCAGTTAACAAGCTTCCCAGAGACTCCAGGGCTCAGAACCCCAGCTGGGAGGCCTGGGTTGGAGGCCACACCTCGGGGCTGTCCCTGCGACCACTGTAGCCCAGACCGAGGACAGACACTCACCTTTGCAGATGAAGCACTTGATGTGGAAATACTTGTTCTGGACCCTCAGCACCTCCCCCTTGCACACGTTCCCACAGGTGTCACACAGGATCGCCGTGCTGGGCGGCTTCTCCAGGGGGCTGTGACCAGCCTGGGGCTCCGACACTGTCAGAACAAGAGGAGCCACATTAAAGGGCGGCTGTGCCGGGCAGAGGGCGAGCAAACCAGCCAGGTGCAAAGGCGCCCCCGCACCCAGCACAAGTCCCAGAGGACATCGCGGGACAGGCTCATCTTCTCCTCAGGGACCAGTGAGAAGAGGATGATGGACAGGCCGGCTGGCCAACCCCCAGTAAGGGCTCCTGTCTGTGCCAGCCCCAGTCGGTGTGCGAACTTGTCCCCATCCCTGTATGCACAGCAGCAGTGACAGGGAGCTCACAACCCCCTCCCGAAGGGCGGCTCCCTGCTGCCCTGACCCGGCACCGCTCTGGCCCTCAAGGGGCCTCGTCAGCTGGGCCCCTGGTGAGCACAGCAGACCCAGGGACACAACCCTGGTCTTCCTGTGAGCCTGCTTCAAGTTCCCTCTGTGTCCCAGGGACACTGACCTCCTAAAGCCAGCACTGCCCGGGGTTTTTATGGAGGCACTACTAACCCTGGCGGGATGGGTCAGGGCAGATGGTGAAAGGGCCCGACCGTGGGGCCCTTGGGGTCTGGGTGGGGCCCATGCACATCCTCCGACAGCCTGGTGGAGGCCAGCGTGCAGGACGCTGGGGCCCACAGTGGATCCACACCTTGAGGAGCACCAGCCCAGTGGTACTGACAGTGGGCTAACGACAGTGACAAATCCAAGGGGCAGAGCTGGGGGGGTGGAGGCGCAGGGCTGGGGGACCAGCTCTCCCCAGTGGGGTCACTTCAGTGCAAGTAGGACCTGGTTAGATGGTGGTGTTGGGGGTAGCGTGGGGCTCTGCCAGGCAGAGGACATGGCCGATGCGGGGCCCAGGCAGGCTGGGGCCGCTTCCATCCCAAGACCAACCCAAGAAAGCCATACCTGCCCCTAGTCTGTCACCAGGATGTCCCTCCTAGTGACCCCCAGCCTCCGTCAGGCACACCGGCCCCCTGCCCTCCTCCAGGAAGGCTCCCGCTCCTCTGCCTGGCTTTGAATCTCTGCTGAATGCGGGTGGCAGGTGACAGTGGCTGACCCACCCCCATGCAGCTCCTAGTAAACAGCCTTTGTCTTTCTCCTGTGTGTGTATGTGTGTTCATGTGCATATGTGTGTGTTGCAGTGGGGGGACGGGGAGGGGTCTTCACTATTTCCGCATCTCCTAATGCTACCCTCCTTTCTCATCTGGCCTGAGGATGAGACAAGGATGGGGTGCAGGTGGTGCATCTTGGGGACCCCAGGTGGCAGGGAAGGTGGGCAGGGAGGGTGGAAGGCAGTGAAGGGTGTGTTACTGAGCTGGTCACCCGGGGCCCTGCAGGGAACCAGGCAGTATGCGTCCCAGGTGGTACTCAGGAGGTAGGGAGGCTGGGCCCTGATCCTGTCTCCTGCCCCCTGCCCCCTGGGTGAGGGTTGCCCCACAGGCCGAGCTCCCTGCCCTGCTTTTCTGGGCCACGTGGTCTGGGCTGAGTGAAGCTCCCAGGATTAGTGGGGGCCTGACGCACAGAAGCTGGGAGCTGAAGCGCCTGAGGTGGGAAGTTGGCAGGTTCAGGTGAGGTGCCCACTTGGCAGCAACGGAGCCCAAGGTGGGCCCAGGGGATGTGCACAGCCCAGAAAGCACCTGCCATACTTTACTGGAGGGTAAAGGGTATTCGCACACACACACACACACAACCACACACATTTTTGCAACCGTTTAAGGCTAGCCTTGACGGAGCCCCAGGCCTGGAAGGTCTCTCCCCCTGAACACGGGGAGGTGGGCGGCAGACAGAGGGGGCCCGTCTCCATCGTGTCCAGCCTATCCGGCCCCGGCCCAGAGCCCCTGACCTGCCCCTAGTGTGAAGTTGGACAGGGCACGGCACAGAGGAGGACCTGGGCCGCTCTGGGGACAGCAGGCCTGAGGGGGAGAGTTCTGGACACCCCAAGGGTAGTGGGGTGCCAGCAGTCTGGGGGCAAGAAGCCACACTGCCTGTGGAGGCAGGTGCAGGAAAGGAGTGGCAGGAAAGCTGGTGTGGCCTCGCGCTGGGCACACAGGCCCGGTGTCTGCGCCTGCCTCGCGTTTCCACAGTCAGGAAACCTAACAGCGGACGGGACAGTGCAGAATCCAGCAAGTACCCCATGAGCTCCGTGTGCCGGCCTGAGAGCTGGGGTGCCATTTCCTGCTCTGGGCTGAATGTCCCCAGGAGGCTTGCACCTGCTGCTGCTACTTTTTCCTGTAGAATAACTGCAGAAACTTTTTCTAGTATTTAGCAGTGATATCATTACTTCACTATTGATAAAATTTGGGGCAGCAGGCAGAGAACAAGGGCTCCCTAGGCTTGAACTTAAAATTCCCTGAGCAGGATGACCCACGGGAGCCTGGGCTTGAAACCTGTGCGGGGCCTGGGGCCACCCAGGCTCACGTGAGGCTGACAGGCGGCGGAGCCACGTGGTCCACAGCAGAGGTTAAATCAAGATCGGGGGGCAGGGTGGGGGGTGGGGAGGGACACACAGATCGTCACCACTGTCGTCTTCTCTCTGTCAGACACACAAAGAACGATACGCTGTCATCTCTCCACGGGCAGAGAAGGCAAGTGGGGGGTGCACAAACCTAGTGTGGGGGAAATGTCGCGCCGACCACACTGGGGACCCCGTCAGGGCCCGGGGAGCGCATGGCCGTGCAGCCCCAGCTCCCCTCCTCTGCGCTGCGGCCGGAGCTCCCAGCCTCCCGTGCGCCCACTGCGCGCCCATCCGCCCTCTGCCCACAGCTCCTGCACGGGGGGGGGTGGGGGGCATGTCGGGGTAACGGGCAAAAACGTTTCCGTAGCAGGTGGCAGGCCCCACACGTTCAATGCACAATAGCTACTGTCATTTCCAAGAGGACACAACCTGACATCACCGGTTCCCTGGTTACCGCGATCTCTTCGGTCCGGGGGACGCTACTCTTAAGGCAAGGCTTTGCTGGGAGGCCCCAGCTGCACCCAACTGGACTGTCCGCGCTCAGGGTGGTGGTGCTGCCCTCTGGCGGTAGTAAGTGGACACTGTACCATGGGGACAGGCCTGTGTCCCGGGCAGGCGTGGCCTCCAGTACCTGCAGGTGTTCCCTCCAGCCCACGTCTGTCCGCTTGCCCTTGGGGTCGCATCTGTGAATCCTGCGGGTGGCACGGGCCTTTTCCCCCCCCAAGATGAGCTCATCCTTGCACCTCCTGCAGCTGCCCTATTGCAAGGAGATGCCTTTCCCTGCAGGTCAGCTCTGCAGACCGGAGCTCGTGCGAGGTGTGCTTTCGCAGCAGCCTGCGAAGTGCGTCCCTGCTGCCACTGAGCGTACTGAGGCCTGGAGAGGCAGCCCAGCCGGTACGCGCCCCGCAAGGAAATCCGGACCTGCGCAGTGCCCTGGGGTTTCTCCACGTGACCCCTAGAGAGAGATGGGCTGTTCTGGCCAGGCTCCCTGCAGAGGTCCTTAAATGCATGTGACTAAGTGGTTATGAAGTAGCTGGTCCGAAGCGCTGCACCATTGCAACTATTTGATGGTATAAAAAAAGCAAAGCTCTGGAGACAGTGAAAATACCAGTGGTTTGTCAGGGGTTCTGGGGGAAGGATGAACCGATGGAGCGCAGGAGAGTTTTAGGGCAGGGAGCCTGCTCCGTATCATTCCGTAATGGGGGCTACATGTCATTATGCACTTGTTCAAATCCACAGAATGTACCCCACCAAGGGTGGCCCCCGATGTGAGCTACAGACTGTGATAATGATTCATCAAAATTGGTCATCGATCATAACAAATGTACCACCCCAATACAAAATGTTAATAATGGGGGAAATGGGGACTTGGCGCGGGCGTACAGGGGGCGCTCTACTTACTGCTCAATGTTTCCGTAGACTGAAAACTACTCTAAGCAGTGAAGTCTGGGAAAAATTTTAAAGACAGAAGTGCCACACACGGAGTGGAGCCACAGGTGCACAGGTTCACTTCGCCGCACTTCCAAGATCGGCTCTGACATTGGACTGAACACATCCTCAACCGTGATAGTGACATAAACCACGAATTCAAGTCACACAAGGGCTGTGACTCTAACCCCTCCGTGATAATGAAATCCCAGCGCCGGGGAGCCTCACACGAATAGAAAGAATATTCCTGGTAAAAACAACACAAGGAGGGAGGTGGCTTGCCCGCTCTGACCGAGGGCCAGCAGCCCGTGATCCCTGCAGGCCACAGTCCTGTTCTGTCACCAGAAACGGTCTGGAGGAGCCACGTGCTGTGAGGAGCTGGGACGGGAGCCGGTTTGGACCCGTGTCCAGGGAGGCAGTGGTATCTTGGAGAGCCGACAAACTCCAAGAAGCCGCAGCATTCACATCTGTAAGTTGTAGGAACTTTTCAGACTCCACTAAAGTGGGGAAAGAAAACACCTGCCATGCCTGACAGGTGTTGGTGAATGACAGCTGCCGGCGTGGGTATTTCCAGGCCTCAGAGGCGGACCCGCCCCTGAGGGTGAGAGAGAGCAGGGCAGGGCCACCAGAAAGGGGACCAGGAGTCCCCAGAAGGCCACATGCTGGGGGAACATGCTTCCGCTGTACTGACCCACCAGACACATCAATTCTCCTCTCCACTCCACTGGTGCAGACCCAACCAGGGTGACTTCCTTCTTTGTTCCTAGAAGTTTGCCAACCTGACATCATTCAAGATGCTACAACCAAACATCCCACATTTCCCCAGTCAGCAGACCTGGAAGGCAGCTGTGGCACCACTGGGCCCGCGTGCCCTGTGCTGTCTCCGTCCCCTTCCATGTGGTCCTCATCAGTGCAGGTGACAGTGAGGGCCCGGCCCCTCCTGCTCAAAGCACCCAGCCCGATCTGCAGGTGCCCTAAGCCGAGGAAGCCACTGCAAGTCCCCGGGACTTCGTTCTGAAGTCAGCACTGCCAGGCGCTTGGCCAAAGGTCACTCAGTGCCAAATACTAAACAACAAAGCTATTCTAATCATTGCCGGCTGGTTCATTCACTCACACGCCCAGCAGGCGTCAGAGGACCTACTG